TATTAACTACGTTATAACTACTCTAATATTTAATTAAACTCTAAATATAATTTCTTAGCTAGTCTAGCTTAGCCTTATATTTATAAACTAGTATTTATAATAGTAGGCGACTTTCTTAGCTGTCTTATACTATCTATTTATCATATTATAGCTTATTAAAGCTTAAAACTATTACTTTAGGGTAGTATAATTCTTTTATTATGTGAATTTTATTAGGCTACTATATCGTTTTGAATGCGTGGAGCTTAAAAGAGACTTTGCTCGAGGACAACTCGGGATATTCATACGATGCAGAGCCAGCTCGGCAACTTCTATGACTAAATTATTATGGAGCTTGATCGAAGTTGAACAAGTCCTTAACCCTTCTAGCGCCCTGAACCCTCTATTATCAATCTTCCACTGCGCTTGCATCAACTGGCAATGGAGTCTGACTTTCCTTGGTTAGATGCTTTGTCAACAGCCGCAGAGCAAGGCAATGAGACCATTGTTCGGTCGCAACTGCTGAAATCTGTCGACCCCAACTCAACGGATCATGAGTACGGTCGTACAGCATTGTCACGGGCAGCAGAAAAGGGTCATGGCGACGTTGTCAATACGCTCATTGAGTTCCACGCGGACGTGAACGCGGTCGACGCTGGAAGCGGCAGAACCGCTCTTTCAATGGCGGCTGAGGCCGGCCACGATACGATTGCGGAGCTGCTTGTTGACAGAGGTGCTCAAATCGATCAAATCGATTTTAGCTTTCAAACACCGCTGCTATATGCCGCCCGTGGGGGCCACTCTCCCATCGTCCGCCGGCTGCTTCAACGCCAAGCAAAGGTTGATCATAGGGACGCTCGTGGCGGGCGGACAGCCCTCTCGTGGGCTGCCGGAAATGGCCATCAGGACTCCGCGAAAATTCTGCTGCAATTTGGGGCGTCGTTGAATTCCCAGGATGACATGGGCTGTACACCGCTAGCATGGGCAGCGAGAGAAGGTCATGATGGCGTGCTGTGCTTCTTGCTGGACTTTGGTGCGGACGTCTACGCCCAGGATTCCGAGGGCCACACAGCACTCTTTCGGGCGGCGGCGAATGGGCATGGTGCTGCGGTCAAGCTACTTGTGGAAAAGTATGCTCTTGACGGCAAAAGACTTGCAGTCAATGAGAGTCGGTCCATCATGATGGCCGCAGCAAAAAATGCTCATGACGAGGTTTTTGGGATTCTTGTGGCAGAAGATATCGCTCCCGTCAACTGCCACGACGCAACTGGCCGTACAATGCTATCACATGTTTCCGGTTCAGGTAATCCCCGAATTGTGAAGCTTCTTCTGGGCAAGGGCGCCGAGGTGAACAGCCCAGACGACCTCGGCCGCACCCCTCTGTCATACGCAGTGAACTTTGGTTGCACCGAGTCTGTCAAGCTGCTACTTGAGCATGACGCCGACCCCAACTATTCGGACAAGGACGGCAGAAGTCCACTATCTCTCGCTTCCCAGAACGGGCATCTGAAAATCGTTCGGCATCTGCTTGGGCATAACGCCACCGCCGAATCATCAGACAAATACGGTGTCAGTCCATTGTCGTATGCTTCTTCAGCTGGTTATGACCAAGTCGTCCGACTGCTTTTGGAAAGCGGCGCCAATGCAAATTCTTTTGATGAGAGAGGCCGCAGTCCGCTGTCGTACGCCGCAGAGGCCGGAAACATCGCACCGGTTCGAGTTCTGCTCGGTGCAGGTGCTAAAGGCGATACTGTCGACGACGACAACCACAGCCCTTTGTCGTACGCCTCAGAGAATGGGCATAGAAAACTTGTACAAGTATTGGTCACTAGCATCGCCGACCCCGATTGCGGTGAGCCGCTTCGGTTCGCGCTGGACGACAAGCGCATCGTAAGAGTACTACTTGCAAACGGCTGTAGCCCGTTTTCTGACCATTACGACACTGGAGAGTCTGGTCCGCTGATTTTGGCTGCTGATGAGGGCGACGAGACTCTTGTCGGAATGTTTCTGCGTGTCCAGGATCCTGCCAAAGTCAAACACATCCGATCGACGCTCGTATACGCTGCCGGCGCTGGGAATGGATCGGCGGTGAGGCAAATCATTACGCACCCAGAGTTTCCAGCGCTGGTAGACGTGGCTTTAGAAGATGCGTTGAAAGATGCGTCGAGTGCTGCGCTAAACAGTTCTGATCAGTCGCTCGCAAGCTTTTTGACAGAATACCTTGATACTCTAGCTATTCAATCATGACTTGTCTCAAAAACGATCGTGCTCACTGGATGTGCAGCAGTTTGAAGTTATGCGAATGTGACTTTTTATAGACGGCATAATAACGGAGGTCATTTCCCCTACTTATTCACAACCGAATCATAGGCTGGCAGATGGCCGCGACATTTTTGCATAACAAATGACACAAGGCACTCACTGCATAACTATGAATCAGGTCGCTTGTAGGCCTGATGAAATGTCTGCGGGTCGAATAATGAAAAGGGGGCTACAGAGTACCCCCACGACCTTTTGTGCACTTGCACCCATGTTTTCGTGAATGGCGCTCTTGGCAGTCTGTCGACAGCGGAGCTGCCTTTTCAAAGCCATGCAGCACAATGGATGCCTTTACCATGTTTCCCCCGCCATGATCTTCCGCCACATATTAATCCCATTTATGACCTACCAATGAGATGGCGTGGGGAAAGCGCCAGAACGAGGCGTCGCGGACCCAGTAGGTTAAACTTGAAGGCTTGGGTAAGTTGCTGCCGCTGCCGCGGAAACCCTGACTAATTCCGAGAGGTGTTTCGTTGGCATGAGCACGAACGCAGTGGTCTTGGCATCTGCACGCCGTATATACTAAGTGGTCTGTGGCTGGTCTCGTGCTCTTCCGCCCACGCAGTCTTCTGGTCATCCTCGCTCGCGCTCTCCTGTTGTGGTGACCGGTTTTTTTCAACGGAGTGTTTTCGGGTTAGAGAATGCACGAATCTTCGCTAACTAACTATGGCATCGAGACCACTGCGTTTGAGAGAAAGGTCGTGTCTTCCGTTAACAAATGGTGTCCCCACGAAGCTTCACGATCATGTTGAAAGATGCTTAATATCTGGACCAGATAAAATTGCTGTCAGGGCCACCAGGATACAAGGACAATCCTCAAAGTGGCGTGCCATCATGGCTTTTTCACAAAAGGCCCGGTGACGTAGGATCCTGATGCTCATCACCACTGCCGAGCGTGTCTTGTGTAATCTCTCACAGTCGTAAAAAAACATGGACTTTTACCATACCTGCTCGTAAGTCCGAGCTCGAACACCTAGGTTCAGTATGCGAGACAGCACTAAATAGGCACAGGCATACGAAAGTGAGTGTCCAAACCGCCGAAACATCAGCGCCGCAAGCTTAGCAAACAGGCAAACAGGCTGTCGGGATAAGCAGATGCAAGGATACCCTAGCATCTCATTGCAACCGACGATCAGTAAATGTGCTGTCAAAGGGCGCCAATGCCAAGCTCTCTAGCGGGCCACTTGCTGAGTTGGAGCACCCCTCATGTCCTTCCTATTCGGACCTTTAACCCCGCACAATGTTTCTTTAAGCATAATTTAGGGTTGGCTTGACAAGCAGGCGCTCTGATATTACTGGAGTTGTTGAGATCGGATGGGGAGACCCAAACCTCCGCCCGCCTCGAACCCCGTAGGGGAGGGAACCCGTAGGGGAGGGAATGCGGGGAACTCGTCATTGACATGGTTCGCCCATATAAAAGACTGACCACCTCTCTGAAGGAGTATCCATCTGTCAAGACATTTTTGGACTCCTTAGAATCGTTATCTTCTAGATTCTCCATACGGGGAGTAATCAAAGCAAAATTCCAACTACGTAGCCTTTGTTGCCGCCACATCCATACTGGCATGGGTTTTCTAAGTACTCACGTCCAGGGCACCGCCGACCCTCCAGAAGTGCGCAACTGGTACATCCATTGGATCGCACTCGTTGCTTCCATGTCGGCCCTTGCCAGTAAGTTGCAATCCGCCTCAGAACCCCCCCTCAAGTTTCCAAACCAACCATCCTCATCCTGTTATACAGTGGGTTACGATACCGCAGTCATTGGCGGGACAATGGCCCTCGACGCGTTCCGCAAAGACTTTGATATGCTGGACATGGAGAGAAGAGCGCGCGACACTATCCAGGGCAACATTGTATCCACCTTTCAGGCTGGTTGCTTCTTTGGCGCTCTCATCACCTTCCCCGCCGCGGAGCGTTTCGGCCGCAAAATCACCATTCTCACCGCCGCCCTCGTCTTCTTGCTCGGCGGCACCCTCATGACCGCGTCCATGGGCAACATGAGCATGATTGTGGCCGGCCGCGCCATTGCCGGTCTCGGCATCGGATCCACGTCCATGTGCGTGCCCGTGTACATTTCCGAGACGGCGCCGCCCTCCATCCGCGGCCGACTTGTTGGCATTTTCGAGATTGCCTCGCAAGGGGGCGGCATGCTCGGCTTCTGGATCAACTACGCGACGGCGCAGACCATTTCAAACGACAACAAGTCCCAGTGGATCATCCCGCTGGCGCTGCAGCTGGCGCCGGGTGTGCTGCTGTTTGTCGGCATGCTCTTCAACCCAGAGTCTCCGCGCTGGCTGGCTCGCAAGGACAGGTTCGAAGAGGCAGAGCTGACTCTGACGAAACTGAGAGGGCTTCCGGCCGAGGACTCGTACATTCGCCGGGAAATTCACGAGATTCGCATGCAAATTGAGGAGCGCAGCACTCTTCGTCTCACGCGCCGTCAGCAGTTTGAGAAGCTCTTCCAAAAGGGTGTCCGCAACCGCATGGGTATCGGAATGGGACTCATGTTCTTCCAGAGCTTCACCGGCGTCAACATCATCACATACTACGCGCCTCGTATTTTCGAGACACTTGGCATCACTGGCACCAGCACCAAGCTGTTTTCCACCGGTCTTTACGGATGCTTCAAGACGCTGGGCATGATTGCCTTTACCTTTGTCGTAGTTGAGCGTGTCGGTCGTCGCAACGGTCTCATCTGGGGCGCAGTCCTTGGATGTCTACCCATGTTCTACCTCGGGGGATACGTCCTCAAGGCCGATCCTGCTGGCGCCGCTGCCAACGGCATGACGCAGCGTGACGGAGCGGGATACTTTGCCATGGTATGCGTCTACTTCAACGCCTTTATCATCTGCGCCACCTGGCAAGGTATCACCTGGACGTATGCCTCTGAGATTTTCCCTCTCGACATTCGCATGCTCTGTGTTGCCATCACCACCGCTGTGACCTGGCTCGGTTCTTTCATCATTGCGCGCTCGACCCCGTACATGATCACCGATCTTGGATACGGGACATACTTTATGTTTGGCGGCTTCGTTACTGCCATGGGTGTGTGGGCATTCTTCTGCATCCCTGAAACAAAGGGTAAGCCAGCTGTTGTCCGACGCTTCTTTTCGCATACTTACCGTTGTAGGTGTCATGTTGGAGGACATGGATTCATTGTTCGCGCAGTCGACTTTCAAGACTGTTTTGGCGCAGATGCGAGGCTACAAAATTGGAGGCGGAAGCAGGTCTTCCGGCGCACGTGAGAATGAAGAGAAGCGAAAGAGTTTCCTAGAAAAGGGAGAGGCCGAGCAGGTTGAAAAGATATGACACTAGCTGACCAGCCCGTAGACTTTCGTTGCACACCGTATTTACCCTTGACGACAGTTACGATAGTTTTCTTGGCAGCTCTTCCGGGGCAGCCTGCTGCCTTAACTATGGTATGCGTCGTATCCTCGCATTCGTGAGCTTGATCCTCTTGGTCCGCAATGGTTTCGCAAGCGCCTCTTGGACACAACCCCAATTTTGTAGAGAGGGAGCGTGTTTCCGATGACTTTCTAGGATGCTGTTGTCAGGCTAGACCTTCGAGAAGCCGCTCCTTCGGCGATGATGAAGATTTGTCGGTCGGGAGAATTGAGTGTATGAAGAATGGGGAGAACATGCGGCTAATAGCTTTCTCCTCGCTCGAAATTGGCTTGTATGTAGGTTGCCGTATTGTATTATACTCTGTACGCTGATGAACAATTCTTTTACTTCGGGGCTTCTTGACTCACCCGATAAGCTGATATTCGTGCCTCTGGGCGACGTTTCAGCATGGACCCGTGGTGGTCAACTAGAGATGGTGTCGGACAATTGTCAGCCGTTTTTTCGTTTCAACGATCGATTGGTGGTGCCGGTGCTGCCCTCGCATAGCCTCGCTTTGCATGTCTTGCGCCGGCTGGCTTCTTCGTTGGCGAATAGTTGCTAGAGAGTGTATTCGAGGTCTGTTTTGAGTAGAGCTGCAAGGAGAAATACGGCGTCGGCCATATTTGGAGAGGTTCATGAACTGTCATCCGTTCTCCTTTGTACACTTGGAGCAGCGTACTGTGCCAGAATAAGATTGTTTACACTGTGTGCGCTTTTTCTGTCAAGTAGACAGCCTATATAAGGATAGAAGCCTATTGAGCAGGAAAAGCGTGCTTGTTGACTTGATTTTTGTTGATTTTACCTTTGTTTCTTCGATTTCATGAGGTAGACGTACAGACACAATCGTTGGTGTTGTAGCTATCAGATGCAGGCAGTGGGCTCGATTGGCGAGATGACGTAGTAGTTGGATCAACGATTCACAGGTAGGCAAATGGTAGAGTCCATGAATAGACGTGCGACACAGTTTTGACAGTTCAATTGTGAGATAGGGTAATTTTGGCGGATCATTTTCATTATCGGAAAGAGGAAAAATAGCCACAAACCGAGAATGTTCATTTTCCTCCAAGACTGGTGGGTGCATGCAGGTCATTTGTTGGCAACGCAACGGAGAACAAAGCTCAAAGGCTCACGTTGCCGTACACAACTCGATTGGCCAGCTTTCCCCCCTTGTGAAGCTGGCTGGGTATTCGGGATGGAGCGCCTAGTTAGCGTAGCCGTTTGATCCGAGCTGGTGCATAAGATGGGGCTGGTGCGTGGATGATGAGACTTTTGATACCACCCGGAGGCCTTAGCCATGTAGACAGAAAAGTCGGCTTTTCGATTGGCATTTCGAAGAATAGCCGAATAAAAAAACATTGTCACAATCGGCACAGAGAGGAGAAAGATTTCCCCACTAGCTCTTTGCTCAACTTGGTCAGCAGAAATCTTGGCGATGAAGCTGTCTTGCCCCGCCATGGTAGCTTCAGACGCTAGTGAAGCTACATCTCCGTCGCCAGGAATCCGACCATGCTAGCAAAGCTCGATTGGCTCGAAAGTCGTTGATAAAAGAGCCATTTCTACTCACCAGTGGAGCCGGAATGCTGTTCCTCGTTTCGTGGCGGTGTCAAGTTAGCCAATCCCCGTACGCGACAACCGCTCCAGCCGTTGCACTCAAGGGGGAGGATCGCTGCCCCTCCCCCTCACTCATAAGGTTCACAGCTTCCTCCCCCAAGCTACCTTGATTGTCCTCTTCTCTCTTCCTCTTGAATACTCCTTACATCCTTTTCTTCTCACTACCTGTAATCAATCGCATAATCACCGTCACCATGGTCCATCTCTCTCGCGTCCAGACCGGCCTCGAGGGCCCAAAGGCCGAGCAGTCCACCACCAGCGCCGACAAACTCCACCACAAGGCCTCGCAGCTGCATCTCGCCGACTATAATGACGACTTTACCACGTCCGTCTATGGCTCCCGCTTCGCCCGCGAAGACCTGCCCAAGAACAGCATGCCCGAGGGCGAGATGCCCAAGGAGGTGGCCTACCAGATGATCAAGGACCAGCTCAGCCTCGACGGGAACCCCAAGCTCAAGTGCGTGTTTACTCCTTCACCCAATTGATGTGACTACGGATCAATTTCACAGTTTAACCAACAAGTTCACAGCCTTGCTTCTTTCGTCTCGACCTACATGGTAAGCTCCGCGCCGCGATCTGCTTGCCGCATCAGTCGTCGTTGTACTCATCACAGACACAGGAAGAAGAAGCTCTCAAGCTCATGACGGACGCATTTCCCACCAACTTCATCGACTACGAAGAGTATCCCTACACTGCCGACATCCAGAACCGCTGCGTCAACATGATTGCCAATCTATTTCACGCGCCCTCTGACGACGCCATTGGCACCTCGACCGTCGGCTCCTCCGAGGCCATCATGCTCGCCGTCCTCGCCATGAAGCGCCGCTGGAAGCAAGCCCGCCAGGCCGCCGGCAAGCCCTCCGACCGCCCCAACATCATCATGTCGTCCGCCGTTCAGGTCTGCTGGGAAAAGGCCGCCCGCTACTTTGAGATTGACGAAAAGTACGTCGACTGCGCCCGTGATCGTTTCGTCATCGACCCCGCCACCGCCGTCTCCCTCGTCGACGAGAACACCATTGGCATCGTCTCCATCCTCGGCACCACCTACACCGGCCACTACGAGGACACAAAGGCCATCAACGACCTACTCGTCGAAAAGAACATTGACTGCCCCATACACGTCGACGCGGCCTCGGGCGGCTTCGTCGCTCCGTTTGTCGTTCCGGATCTGGAGTGGGATTTCCGCCTGCCCAAGGTGGTCTCCATCAACGTCTCTGGTCACAAGGTAACGTTTGCTCCACCCGCTCGCTTGACTACGCTTTCGCTAACAACCACAGTACGGCCTCGTTCACCCCGGCGTTGGTTGGGCCGTCTGGCGCTCTTGCGAGTACCTCCCCAAGGATCTCATCTTCAACATCAACTACCTCGGCGCCGAGCAGTCTTCCTTCACCCTTAATTTCTCCAAGGGCGCCTCTCAGGTCATCGGCCAGTACTACCAGCTCATTCGCCTTGGCAAGCATGGCTACCACGCCATCATGAGCAACCTCATCCGCACCGCTGACCACCTCGCGGCCGGCCTCGAGGAGCTCAACTTCGTCATCATGTCCGAAAAGTCGGGCGAGGGCCTGCCCCTCGTGGCGTTCCGCTTCGCCGAGGGCGACGAGCGCGGCGCCATTGCTGACCGCGTCTTTGACGAGTTTGCCCTCGCCGCCCACCTGCGCGCCCGCGGCTGGATCGTCCCCGCCTACACCATGGCCCCCAAGACAAACAACCTCAAGATGCTGCGCGTTGTCTGCCGCGCGGACTTTTCCCGCAGCCGTGCCGACGACCTCATCTCCGACATCAAGCTGTGTCTCAACCTGCTCGCCACATTGGACAAGGAGTCTATGGAGCGCGCCAAACAGTACGTGCGGCAGCACGTCTCGTCGCACGGCAAGAAGAAGCACGAGCACTCGCCACACGAGTACAAGAACGAGGAGCACTCCCTGCAAGGCAAGACGGGCAAGACACACGCCGTCTGCTAAACTCGCCGACGCAACATGAAACGTAAAACTTTTGATACTGTAAATAAATGATGAATATACTTTCTATGTGCCAAAAACTGTGCAAATGCCAAACGCTATATCTAGTCTTGATTTCTCCGGTGTGTTTATGTCTACTTCCTGGTCGCAGCAATGGCCTCTTCCAGGATCCCCAGTCCAATACCAATCTCCTCTTCCGAGATCTTGAGGCTCGGCACGAAGCGCAGCGTGTTGGTGCCCGCGGTAATGACCAGCAGGCCCCTCTCGCGCGCGGCTTTAATCACCGGCGCCGGGTCCTCGGTCATTTGCAGCCCCAGAATCAGGCCCCTGCCGCGCACCTCCTTGACGAGGTCCGGAAAACGCTCCCGCACCTTGGCGAGGCCGGCGCGAAAAACGTCCGACTTGGCGCGGACGTCGGCCTGCAGCGCCGGGTCGGACAGCTTGGTGACCATGTAGTGGGCGAGGCGGCAGGCGAGCGGGTTGCCGCCAAAGGTGGTGCCGTGGTCGCCGACGGCCATCTTGTCGGCGACGCCGTCGTTGACGAGCACGGCGCCGACGGGGAAGCCGTTGCCGAGGGCCTTGGCCGTCGACAGGATATCCGGGTGCGCCTCCTTGGGCAGGTGGCTGTGCGCCCAGAGCTGGCCGGTGCGGCCGAGGCCGCACTGGATCTCGTCGTAGATGAGCACGGCGCCGACGGCCCGGGCGCGGCGGGCGAGCGCGACCAAAAAGTCCTCGCTGGCCGTCTGCACGCCGCCCTCGCCCTGGATGGGCTCGACAATGACGGCGCACGTCTTTTCCGTCACGAGCGCGTCAATGCCCGCCACGTCATTGTACGTGCCCTGCCTGAAGCCGGGCACCATGGGCGCAAAGGGCTTCTGGTACTTTGGGTTGTGCGTCGCCGACAGCGCGCCCATGGTGCGTCCGTGAAAGGCATTGTTAAACGAGACGACCTCGGTCTTGCCGCCCGCCGGGTCCAGCACCTTGCCGACCTTGCGCGCAAACTTGATGGCGGCCTCGTTGGCCTCGGAGCCCGAGTTGCACACAAACACCCTGGCCGCGTCGTGCATGCCGCCCGACGCCCTCGTCACGTCCACCAGCAGCTTGGACAGCGCGCCGGTCCAGGGGTTGTGGTACAGGTTGGACGCGTGGACGAGCGTCTGCGCCTGCTGCGTCAGCAGCGCCGTGAATTCCGGGTCGCAGTGGCCGAGCGCCGTGACGGCGATGCCGGCGGTAAAGTCGAGGTACGGCCGGCCCGAATCGTCGTACAGCCAGGAGCCCGCGCCCCGGACAAAGACGGGCGGCGGCCGCGCGTACGTGGCCACCATGTAGGGCGCGTGCTCGCCGACGAGCGCGGCGCTGGCCGAGTCGGCTGGGGGGTCGGCGTTGGGGAGCTCTGTGTCGCGCTGTAAACTGTTAGCCATGTCCAATTCCATTCGGAAGCGGTTTATCTTTCCATCTCTGTTCGAGCGAAGCGAGGGCCTTGGGGGGGCCGGGGGGCAAAGAGGCAAGAAGACGTACGTTGAGTTTGGACCGAGTCGAAGCCGACGGGTTCAAACTATCGCCGACACCGGCGGTGGCATAGCCGCGAGCGAAAATGGGCGCCGCTGGGCGTGACAAGGCGCGCAAGGCGGCGGCAGAGTGCCGAGACAGAGCCAATCGAGACGCCATGACTTGCAATAAAGTGAGTCCCTAAATTTGCGTTCGATGGGAAAGGAGAAACGGAGGCGGCGTGGTGGAAGTGAAATGAGCTAGGTAACTATCAGAGGAGGATCGAGCTGAGGTGGGCCAACGGTACTTTTTCTTTTTTCTATCAGCAGCAAATTGATGGGGTTTATCGATTAGTGCGCCCTTGGCGTATGAGTCGAATGACATCGGCCGCCCAGCGACGTAGTAGCCATGGGTGAGCGGTAAAATCACTCATGAAAGCAGCGTCGTATTTACGAACTATTTTCACTTTCAATGTATCGTGCAGTTGTATCCATTTTTGAGAGGTGCTGTCTCATCCTGGCAAGGCTCATTATTCGCTCTCGGTGCGGCAGTTGGTCCCCCATTCTCAGCATCCACTCCCACGGATGTTATTAGTTGAAGTATATGGCTAACTATTATTATATCGCTATGCTAGTAACATATCTACACAGAGACGTCTAGGATAATGCCTCACGAGACACAAGCACGACCAGCACGGCCCGTTGTTCTGAAATATCGCATACACTTCATCAGCTCATGCAATTTATGTGCCTTGGTCTCGACGCTGTGATGATACGAAATCACCAGATCGATAAGATTGCACAAGCGTCAAGATGATGGACGTTTTGCACTCGATTTCCTTCCGGTCCACTAGCGACATATCAGGTTCATCGCGTTGACGTCTCGTTCCTAGACCGCGACGACCTAGGCGCGCTACTTGTACAAGTCCTGCCACAAGGCTGAAAGTGGCCTCTTGGAATAATTTACGCGACAAAAGCGTGACAGCCGGGAAAATAATTCTGAGCGCCGGCCCATGAACAAAAAAAATGCTGAGTCTCCAGGACGTATGTACAGATCCGGGCCCAATCTTCCCACCTTTTGTCAGCATTGAATTAGTTTTTCAGTCTATCGGTGCTGGCAGAGCAAGAATGCTTCACCATCAGCCAGCTTCGGTGCGTCAAGGTACGTAGCACCCCAGTGGCCAAGATCTGTCACGAATTTCTCGACGTCGCCAAAGCCGCATTTCAGATATAGCTTGTCCCGCAGGCAGCCTGCTTGAGTGCGCACGCCATAGCGGCGTCCTCAGGAAGAGCTGGCTGAACTTGTAGTGGCATGTCTATTATAGCACAATTAGGCCGTGATCATCAGACGAGGACTCAGTCTTGGATGTCTTTTTCGAGGTACAAAGACTTAATGGATATAATACCACGAGGCGGTTACAGGGGGGTCGTCGAGTTATGCTCGAATTATGAAAAAAATAATTGGGCCGCGAAGACTAAGTCCTCGTCTCATGATCACGGCCTTACGCCCGTTAGCTGCACATAACAATGATACGCCCGCGACAAGAGTTTTGAGGAACCAATTAGCGGACTTGCAACCCTTGCAAATATTAAAATCGGTACTGATCCTGCTTAGATTCCGTACACGGCGATGACAACTAAAGACTGATAGTCAGGATGGCTGCATAGCCCGGTTGAAAACGCGGCGGCCCTAGCTCCAAGGCGGCCCCAGAGAATATGCAAACGCGCAAGCCTCAACGCAAAAGTTCCAATACACATAAAACGCTCGCGGCTTTGGTCGACTCTGCACGACATGGTACATTAAGATGCAGTCAGCATGGTATCCACGTGATGTACGTGTAGTCAGAAGACTTTGATTGCTTGGGTGGTCTGGAAATGTCCCGGAAACGTTCTTCCCATCATTTCAACTCGGCCAGCCGTTGGGATGCTCTTCTCTAACTGTGGCAGCGATGCCTCAATTGGAACTACCGTGCTAAACTGCCGCGGGGGTTTTGATTTCACGTTACGTTTTGAAAATGTGACATTTGCAATTGCACCATCGGCCGCGTTTCTGGTCCTGTCGTGGGCACGCTTGCTTTGGCTGTGGCGGAGACCAGCCATGGTTCAGTCACGCGGCATCTTCTACCCGAAAATGGTATGCGATGAGACCAATAGCTTGGCAGTCTACTAATCTACTTCGTACAGATTATATCAATCGTTTATTTATGCATGCAGGTGGCACTCGTTCTTCTTGTTACCACGCAACCCGGAGATGCAGCCCCAACCCTCGTCGCCGCCGTAGTGTGTCCAATGTTGGCCGCCTTGTGCATGACAGCTCTATCCTATCTCGAGCATCAAAGATCGCCGCGGCCATCGCTGCTACTTGCCGGATATCTTTTGCTGACCACTCTCCTCGATATTGCTCGCTGTCGCACCTTTTGGTTGGCCTCGACAGACAGCAGCGACAAGGCCGTCGCAGCAGTCTTTACCGCCGCGACCGCCACAAAGGCCGTATACATGGCTCTAGAATCCATGCACAAGAGGAAATGGATTCAATGGCGCGACAACCAACCGCACAGCCCTGAAGAGACCTCGGGTCTCATTGGCCTGGGCGCCTACACCTGGGTCAATTCACTGTTCCTTCAAGGCTACCGAAAGGTCCTGCATTTGCAAGACCTGTTCCCACTTGACACTGCCATGAGAAGCTCAAAACTATACCATACTTTTTCGCAGTTCCTGGAATATGACTTGCTTAGAAGAGACAAAAACGGGCTCGTGAGAGCGCTGGCCCGCACGTTAGCCGTCTCTTTACTGCTCGCCATTCCGCCACGTTTATCCGTGGTCGGCTTCACCTTTTGCCAGCCATTTTTCATCAATAGACTGCTCGAATTTCTCTCTCAAAGTCCCAGCGAAGACTCGCGAAATACTGGATACGGGTTGATTGGCGCAAGCATATTGATCTACGGTGGCATAGCCCTCTCCATGTCGACATACCTATATCTACGCACACGATCGCTTCAAATGGTGCGCGGATGTAAGCAGCCCCCGAACACTCTTTTGCAAATCAGTTTCACCTAACGATAACAGGTTTGGTTTCTGCCATTTGCGTCAAATCCACCGAAATCCAACAAAGTGGCGATGAGCCTGAAACCCTGACCCTCATGAGCGCAGACCTAGAGCGTATTCGCTTTGGTTTGAGATCCATGCACAATTTATGGGCAAGTCCCATTGAGATTGGTCTTGCAAGCTGGCTGCTTTATAGGCAGTTGGGTCTCGCCTTTTTGGCCCCCGTTCTTGTCGTGGCCTGCTGCACCGGTGCCATTGCCTTGACAGTCAAACAGATTGAAAGTGCGCAGAAGAACTGGATGGATTCGGTCCAGAAAAGAACAGGCCTGACGTCCTCTCTTGTTGCGCGAATGAAAGCTTTGAAGATGTCAAACCTGACCACACCAATCATCAACTCCATTCAGAATCTCCGCGTTGAAGAGCTCTCTGCTGGAAGCCGCTTCCGAGGGTTGCTCGTCCTCACGGCAGTGATTGGCTTTGTGCCATTGCTGATGTCGCCTGTCTTCACTTTTGCCGTCACCCAAAGGTCTCTCAACTCGACCAAGATATTTACTTCTCTCTCGTACATGGTACTACTGGCCAACCCTCTCTCTGCGCTATTTCAAGACATTCCCCAGTTCTTTTCAGCTCTCGCTTGCATTAGCAGGATTCAAAAGTTTCTAGAATCAGACGCAAGACAAGATTTTCGGTCTTCCAATGGCGGCTCCGAGATAAAGGAGAACATTGACGCTCTCGCCAGCCAGGGCATCACCGTACACAATGGTAGTTTTGGTTGGGAAGCAGGCAACATGGTCCTTAAGAACATCAATATGCAAATCCGACCGGGCAAAATTACTTTAGTCTGCGGTCCCACCGCGTCTGGAAAGTCAACATTGTGCAGCGCGTTGCTCGGCGAGGTTCCATTCCACACGGGTGATATCATCATGGACAACAAGAGGGCCCCTATAGCATTCTGCAGCCAAGATCCAGTTCTCTTCAATGGCACCATCAAGTACAATGTACTTGGTGGACACTGCCCTAACGAAGAAAGATACAGCGATGTTTTACGAGCGACTTTGTTGCAATCAGACCTCCAGTCCGAATCGCTTCCCCTCGGCGATCAAACGAACATCGGAAGCAACGCCATCGCTCTGTCAGGTGGGCAGAAACAGCGTCTCGCCCTAGCGAGAGCTTTGTTCGCAAATACAAAATTGATGTTACTTGATGACGTCTTTAGTGGCCTTGACAACAAAACGGCAAAGCAGCTGTTCGAAAATGTCTTTGGAAGTGGAGGGTTGCTGCGACAACGTCAATGCACCGTCGTCCTATGCTCCAACAACCCCAGCCACTTTTCATATGTCGATTCTATTCTAGCGTTGGGGCCGGACGGTAGTGTTATTGAACAGGGATCCCTCGATGAGCTCATGCAGCTTGAAAATGGGTATATCAAGACACGCTGCAAAGATATTCCGGATTGTGATGTGACAGAGCAGGACGTGATCACCAACACTACCAATGATGAGGTCAAGGCGCCATTGCAAGACGATGCCATTGACAGCGAGCCAAAAGGATCCGATCTCGATTCACAGCGAAGAAAGGGAAGCCAGGGCACATACAAGCATTACTTTAAGTCTGTTGGCTACATGCTTTCCCTCTCGATCTTTGTTTGGGGCGCAGCAATCGGCTTCTCCCAAAACTTTCCGACTGTTTGGCTAACTTACTGGGGCAATGACTTGTCTTTATCAGCTCCTCAGCATTCCTCGAGTTACTATATTGGTATTTACGCGCTTCTCAACGTAGGCTGCATTATCTGCTTGGCTGCACTCGGTATCACGGTATTCTATGCTGCAGTTTCCACAGCTGGGGCCAAGTTGCATGGCGATGCGCTGAGCATACTTCAGCGTGCTCACATGTCGTTCTTTTCTGAGACGGACCAAGGGAAGATTGTCAATCTCTTTAGCCAGGACATGAACTTGATTGACACGGAGCTCCCCGCTGCGCTTCTCAACGGCGTCTTGGCAGTGTCCATGGCTATTGGTCAAGCTGCTGTCCTCAGCACCACGTCGGCGTATTTGGCCATCAGTTATCCCTTTCTCATTGGGTTTCTCTGGATTATTCAACATTTTTACCTGCGGACTTCTCGTCAGCTACGGCTGTTAGACCTGGAAGCCAAGAGCCCCATGTAGTAAGTCGCATCCTTTATTTTAACAACTCTGATGGCAAGAAAAACGACTGATTGGTTTGCAGTGCGCATTTTACGGATATTTCGAAAGGAATTGTGACGATTCGCGCATTTGGGCTGGTCGATCAACATATTGAAACGGGGTTTCGACTTTTAGACGACTCCCAGCGACCGGCCTACCTTCTTGGCATTATTCAGAACTGGCTCATTATGGTACTCGATCTTGTTACTATGGTCATTGCTGCTCTGTTGAGCTCGCTTGCAGTCACGCTCCGATCCAATACGGGCTTCACAGGCGCTTCGCTCGTGACCCTGATGTCGTTTGGTGATCAATTGACGCAAATCGTAGTTTTCTTGACATTACTCGAAACCAGTCTTGGTGAGAGCTGCTCAATGGGAGCCAAGAGCCCGCCGCTGACACAAACGATAGGTGCAATCACAAGGCTACAAGAATTTGGTAACAATGTGACATTGGAGGAAAAAGCCACCGAAGTCGTGAAGCCCGGAGAAAACTGGCCACAGCATGCGAGCCTGGAACTTACCAACGTATCTGCAAGTTACAGGTAGTGATTCTTTACAGCCGCCCCCGAAATCTAGTGCTAATCCGCAAATTCTAGTACGTCAACTGAAGGTAAACCGGCTGCACTTGCGCTGCGAGATGTAAATTTGATGATTCGCGATGGCGAAAAAGTCGCGGTATGTGGGCGCACAGGCAGTGGGAAATCCAGCCTCATTTCTCTGCTTTTGAAGCTCCTGGATCCAATGCCCACTGGAGGGGGCTCAGTCCATGTCGATGGTCTGTCATTTGACCAGATAGACCGTTCGACTCTACGTGCTCGATTCATTGCAGTCCCACAGGACGCTGTTTTCCTGGCCGACGGTACAACATTCCACGAAAACCTAGATCCGTACGCCGAAGCCGATGCTCATGATTGTCAAGCCGCTCTTGAAGCCGTCACCCTTTGGCAATACGTCCATGACCGCGGTGGACTGGCAGCACCCATGAACCCTAGTTCGCTGAGTGCGGGACAGAAGCAGCTTCTTGCTTTGGCAAGAGCTATTGTGCGTCACAGGTTACGTGTCAAGCAGCAGCTAGGTACCACCAACCGAGAGAACGTGACCGACGAACCCGGTGGGATATTGTTGCTGGACGAGGTGAGTGCCAACATTGACCAGGAAACGGAGCTTGTGATGCAACAAGTCATCAGAAACCAATTTGCAAAATACACCGTCATAGCGATAGCGCACAGACTCAACATGATTATTGACTATGACCGAGTTGTCGTTATGGATCAGGGACGCATAGTGGAAATGGGAAGTCCGAGATTACTTTCCCAGCAACAGGGGTCACATTTCCATGCTTTGTGGCATGCTGGAACGGGCTAGAGAGCAGTGTATTGAGTCTGTCAAATTGCAAAAGAAGCTTCCATCTATCTATGGACCTGAAAACGTTGAATGCTAAAGTATCTATCTAGTGGGATCCGTTGACGTCGAGCTGACCATTGGTAGGTTGATGATCATTCTGGCTACTCTTCAGCAAATGGCCATTCTGGTCGCCGTTGGCCTGAGCGCCGTTGCTGTATTGCTTGCCATTGGCGCTCCATTTGACATCTTTTGAGGCGCCCACAAACTCGAGCATGGCATCAGCAAAGGAGCCAGCGCGAATGGCCTCGTAGATGATGGAGACCCATGAGCCAATCGTCTTTTTGGGGCGGCCGTCAATCATGTTGCCATCCGCTGCACCAGCAACCGGGTGCTCGACAAGACCGCGATGCATGGGCACACCGAGTTGCTCCCTCACAAACAGGTACATGGCTTTCGTGCCGTCTCCCAGAAACCTCGAAGTAGTGGGGTTGCGGAAGAAGCTCTCGCGATGGGCCGTGTAGGTCTCCAGCGTCAGAGCGGACAAGGCCTGGCGGGATTCTTCGAGCTTGCCCGCGCTGAGACCATCAACTCCAACCTGGGTCGAGTGCATCACCATGACAGTGACAAGCGTCTCAGAAACTTTTTCGCAGCGTTCGTCAGCGTCGAGGTGAGCAGTGCGGTACCAGGCATCCTCAAACTCTCTCCAAAACAGATGGAAAAACGTTGTCGATTCAGAGGCTTCCTTAACCTGGGCGTTTTCCTTGCCACCAGTCAAGGTTGAAATCAGGTCTCTGATTGGATCCGTGAGGCGGATGAGGAAAGTTTTGTGCATGGTACGTATATCAACGCCTTGACACGCTGTATACATGCAGTTGGCGACAATGAGCGAGAGTACCTCCACAGCCTCCATTGTTTTCCTCGCCGACAAAAGTCCAAGAGAATTGATGGCTTGGTTGTGCATCTCTGCTGATTGGACGTGATTACTGACGGGATTAGCCAGGAAGCCTAGCTCTGATGTGTATGCCGCAGTGTTGACGTCTATTCCCTTGAGGCAGAAAGACAGACTAGGGTCGTCGGCAGCTAAATTGGGAGGTAAGCCATTGCTCAAATCATGGTTGATCATTTCAGACGTCTGCGCGAAAAGCATCTTGCCAATGCTTTGCAGCGCTAGGCGAATCTTCTCCGTGGCAGAGGTGACAGCTGCGGCCTGGAAGTTGGCTCCGCAGTGGATGTCATTGTCGGCCACATTCACAACGGGGTTATCGGTGGTGGAATTGATCTCAACAGTGAGCTGCTTCTCCGCGCTCATGAGGTCTTCGAGGAGTGGCGAGAGCCATTGCGGGGAGCTGCGCAGGGCGTAACGTTCCTGTGCCAGACCAGCCTTGAAGCGATCCTTTGTTTGCTCGAGGCCGTAGACGAGCTTCGAGCCCTTGATAAAGGTGCGCATGTTTTGGGCGGCTTCAATCTGTCCAGAGTGAGGCCGTACAGCCGCGATGAAAGGATGTGCCCATTCGTCATTGGCGCCGAGAGCCTCGGAGGACAGCGCCGTCAGCATCTGCGACACGAGCGCGAGCTGGTTGGCTTCCCAGAGACCGAGAGTTGCCACGGCTGCGGCAGCAGATGTACCATTGATCAAAGATAGGCCTTCTTTGGGAGAGAGAACCACGGGCGTGATGCCTGCCCCTCGGAGGGCTTGCTCTGCCGTGATGATCTTGTGACTGCTGCTGATTTTGCAGCCAACGCGCACAAAGATATCCGGACTGCCCTGTATAGCGCCCGAGACGTATGACAGTGGCATGAGGTCCCCTGAAGCGGAAATTGACCCTCGAAGCGGCACGATTGGCACAATGTCATGGTGCAGGAGTTTAATCATAGTCTCCACGGTATTGGCCGTAATGGCAGAGTGGCCGCGGATGTTGGTGTTGCAGCGGAGCAGCATTGTTGCGCGAGTCCAAGCACTGGGCATACTGTGAGAGCCTAGATACTCATTGCTGCTTTGAGTATCGGATTTATCCTCGGCAGTCAGGATGGCGCTTTGGGTATGTTGCATAAGAGCCCTTTGCAATGCATAGAGGTCCTTTGTGCGTGTGTCGGCACTGCCGCCAAAACCCGTGTTGACACCTGAAAATTAGTTAGACGACTTCTCATTCGCACGTTTTCTTAAATAGTACACATGTACCGTATAAGAAATATCCCTTATCGAGATAGTCGTGTAGGGTTGAAACACTCGATTCGATGCGAAATTGGACGTCAGGGTCTTTCTTGACGGTGGCTTTGCAGCCGTGTCTGAGCAGTGCATGTTAGCATCGCAATACTAGGGCACTGTATAAGATGAATCACCTCGCCGTTGCTACTACAGCTGCAACTTGAAGCGACTCGCCGTTGATCTCGAACGAGCCATCTCGAACGAGCTCGCGCAATTTATTCCATGACAACAACAGGTTGTCCGTATGGGGAGTTGGCCATCGCTTGTTGATGCCACTGGGAACAACTCCATTGCTTTGGGCCATGACTGATTCAAGAGACACTAGGTCCGGCGTTCTGTCGATAATGCTGTCTGGGTTGTCTCTTTTGGCAGTTATTGTTCACCTAGTTCACTTTTTGCGTCTTCATACAAAGTCAACATAAGATGATACAATATAAATGTACTGCTATAGATCTTTCGTTCGCAGACTGTGAGAGCGCCACACACCGGGGTGGGAGTATCGAACATCGTGACGGATACGAGAATCCTGCTCCTTTTGATTCGAAAGACTCGGAAGCAGGCTTAGTCATGAGATGATACGCATATTGACCTTGCATTGCACGGAGTGGGGATCAAGCTGCAATATAGGGAAGAAAGGGGGCATGCAGCATGTAAGACACGTGAACTCGGGCACATCACAGCCTGATTTCAAAAGGTCCGATATTCAAGCTTCCAACGGGCAGGCACAACTTGCCCAGGATCGATAGCAATTTCAGTGACTAGAATCCATTCCTAGCCAACTAGAAACTGTCGACCTGCCACCACCCAGCAGCCCGACTTGACCAATATGGCGTCCCCTTCGGAAACGGCCGCCTTGCTCTCTGGCCACGGTGACGGCGACGACGTGCAGAGTACCACTCGGTCTGAGGCTGCAGCTGCAGCTGCAGCAGCGCATCACCACCGCCGCCTCGTGCTGAGCATTGTTCTCATATCTGTTGTCGCGGCAGACTTTGGAAACGCGCTTTCCCTTGCGCCGCAGCTAAAACTGTACGAGTCGCTCATTTGTAGGCGAATTTTTGGACGCGTGGCTGCCAACGACGGCGACGGCGGCGACTTGATCTGCAAATCGCCCCGAGTTCAATCTGAACTTGCCATCCTCATCGGATGGAAAGACACCTTTGACCAGATTCCCGGCATCACCTTGGTCCTCCTGTATGGATGGGCAGCGGACGTCATCGGGCGCAAGCCTGTATTGCTGCTCGCGTTGGGCGGCCTTTTCTTCGAGGATGTCGCCGTTCGTCTGCTCACTTGGTGGGCTTTTACGACGACGCCGTCATCATCGCTCAGACTCATTTGGCTTGCGCCAATATTCCAAGTGATGGGCGGTGGGCCGGGAACCGCCACATCTATGGCGTATTCCATAATTACCGACACATTCTCAGCAGCAGATCGGTGTGTTTTTTTTTTTTCTCTCTTGTCAGTTTCATCGTTTTTCGATTCATGTCTTTCTAACTGCAATTGACAGCACATCTGTTTACTTTTATCTCGGCGCGGCGATTCTTATAGGAGAGTTTCTGGCGACTCCACTGAGCGCGTTGCTCATGACCTGGACGCCGTGGCTCCCATTCCTGGCAGGCACTGGATGCCAAATCATTGCATTTTCGGCAGCATCTTTCCTTCCAGAAACGAAACGTGCGGGGGCGGCGGCGAGTACTGTTCCTGTTCCTGTTCCCCAAGCCGCTGAATCAATGGTCAGCGGTGCAGCAGCTCCTGTGAAGAATTCCTGGTTTTGGCAAAAGTGTTTTGACTTGGCCAGCGCATTGAATGCCCACTGGAAAACGACGAGAAGCAGCAAAACTGGTTTCAATACAACGTGCATGTTTGCATCATTTCTTACGGCGAGTGTTGGATCCTCGTCTCTATCGTTCATGACACAGTACGCCTCCAGGCGATTCTCTTGGTCCATCCCGAAAGCTAGTCTTTTACTGTCATTGAAAGGAGCCATCAATATTGTTTGCCTTTTAGTGGTGTTGCCCAATGTATCCCGAGTCTTGAGCCAGACCATGCCAGCAACCGCGAAAGAGCTGCGAATCGTCAAAGCTAGTGTCTTATGCTGGACAGTGGGCCTGGCTCTCATGGCTTTCGCGGCGCAAGCCGCCCCCTTCATTGTCGGCATCACGATACTGTCTCTAGGTTCTGGCTATCTGGCAAGTCTTAGAAGTCTCGCCAATGCCCTGGTACCTCAGGCACAAGTTGGACTCGTCAATGGCCAAATTGGTCTCGCGACGGGTGTCGGATCACTGGTCGCAGGGCCGTCCATGGCTGCTGCTTTCCAGCGTGGCATGAGGTTAGATGGCCTGTGGTCCGGCCTTCCCTACATTATTGCAGCGGTACTTTTCTCGGCGGCGACAGCTCTAGCCTGGTGCATCGATGTGACCAGCGACTCTCATTCGTGCGCGACATCATCAGCTGACGAGGACTGAAGCACAACCAAATGCAGAGCCATCAGCGTCGAAATTACGAACAGAGATGTATACTTGTTACACATATTGCCCTATTTCATTTATTATATCTTTGTTCCGTGAGCAATCAAGAGCTCCACGATGGGAAAGTTCTCTGCCTCCACAGCAAGATCGACAGCTTTCCGCCCCTGTACGTCCCGAGCTTCCAAGTCCGCGTTGTACTGCAATAGCAGTGTTACCAGCGCTGCATTCCGGTAATAGACAGCCAGGTGAAGAGGTGTCATTCCCAGGTGGTTTTGCATATTGATGGTTGCCCCGTTGTGCAACAAAAGCCGCACAATTTCCACGTTTCCCGTCACAATAGCACGATGTAGTGTAGTTTGATGCTTTGTTGGTAGAATGCGGCTATCCGCGTTCCTTTTCGATGAATTCCCATTTCCGGTCGCACAGACGGCATTTGCGAAGGGGTGACTTGACGCAGCGGGGGCTTGCGGAGCAATTTCCTGAAAGCTCCAGGCACTGTCCGCAGATGCAGGTGGCTCGTTTGGTTCGGGAGAAGCAGAGGTAATGCAGCCTCCTCTCACAGCATTGAAGCTGTTACTTACGACTTGTGTAAGGGCAAGTCTAGTAAATAGATCGTCGTGATAAAACGAAACTATGCCATCATCCCCCTCTAATGGAGGTGGTGCGCTGTCATGGTAGGTGGGAGAATGGCCAAGCTGTAAGCCCTCCCAACCAGAGTCAGAGACAAGTTGTGGCTCAAAAGCGCCCAGCAAGTCTTGAATTACTTGACTTCTCTCTCTCTGTTTTCGTTGCCGCTCTCCTAACCCCAAGTCAGGCGACTGTCCTGTGTAACTAACGGAGAGACGTCACTTACTCGAAAGTCGCTTACTTATGCGATCTTTGCTGCGCTTCTCTTTTGACTGACAAGATAGCATTTTTCGACTGTGTGGTTGGGGCATTGATCACACAGAAGCACCTCCCTCACAATGCTACGCGCGGGGAGGGGTGCCGCATGTCACGCAGAGCAGTTATTAGTCACGGCATGCTGAACGAGGCTGAATCGTACATGCGGAAATTTGTGCCTGCGAGCGGCGGTAGGTCCGAATATCCAAACATCCATCATTATCGGATCCGGTGCAGCTGCGGCCTGTCACCTGTTTGCTTGTTCCCACACTCCACGTCTTGTACAGTTCTTCGTCCCAAAGAAAGAAATAATAGACACCCCCGCCCGCTGTTGTATCAAGCCACGCACAAGCCTGTGAATTTTGTTTAATTGCCGGGTTGAACCGCGAAAGCACCCATTTCCCCGCTAAAATTAGTAATAATGCTGATTGTCGCCAACCCGCCTCCAGGCGGGAGTGGCTGTCCGTTGTGGTCCGCCTGTGACGGTAAGGCTGTGTGATGCCATCTAGGTACGCTTGTGGCGAATCAAGCGACGGAAGAGAAAGCCAGCGTTACACTGCAGGGCACAAGCTAAAGCAAAGACCTAATGAAATGTGCGTATAAAGGAGAGAGAGAGAGAGAGAGGGAGAGGCCATCTAGAAAGAGTGACGGCTGATGAGGGGCCGGCTGAGTCAGCGAGCCCAGACCCCAACAACACTAGCTAGTATGCAAGTCAACGTGCAGGAGCGTTTTCTAATGCTTTGGAACTTTTGCGTCAATAGTTTCGCATTGTTGTAAATTGTCACTTCAGAGTAGTCGCCTACACTATGCCGTTATGTCGGTTACCCCTTTCCCTGCTCAGCACCTTGCGAGGTACCTTTTCCGGCGGAGACTTTTGCGGTCCGAAAAGGAAGGATCAATGACCTTCCGAATTGGGTCTGAAAACAAAAGCTGTCTCGAACTGAGTCTCTGAGAACAAGGCTATTTCCGAAATCACGTTTGCGTCACGGGACAATGCTCTGACAGTCTGCGGGCTCCATCTACTGACAGACTTTCCCGAAGCCGCAAGCCTCGCTTCACCCCACGCCATATAGTTGCGCATCAAGCTATGCTGTTGACCGTGCAGCACCATGACGCGTGTCAGCCCGGTTTACCGTGTCTCCCGTTTCTCCTTCCATCGACACTTATGTTTGGCGACATTATGGGCCGTAAATCCTCGTACAGGTGGTCTAGAAAGTGGCAACCTCCGTCATCCAAGTCCCACTGATAGGCCTCGAGAGCATCACAATCTATCCTGGACATTGTCTTTTCTTTTCTCTCCTTTCTTGGTTTTTTGGGGGAATTCTGCACCATCTATCCAAGTTTCGCAGCCATGGGCGACCAACATCTATCAGAGGCCGCCGCCGTGGGCTCTGGATACGCGCATTACCCGAGCAACATTCCCGTCGGCTATCGACCACTACTGAAGCAAAGCGCTATGCGGACGTTTGAATGGCGTAGTCAGAAAGAGAAGAATGCAGAGTCCGAGAATTGCGGTCTTGCCTCACCAATTCGTATCCGTGCTGCTTGGTCCATTGTGCTCTCTCAATATTCTGGCTCGAATGAGCCAGTATTTGGAACGACACTAGATACGAATTCATTTGCCAGTCGTCGTCATGTCGTTCCGCTTATGGTCAAAGTGGATTGGCAGTCAAACGTCTCTGAATGGCTGCAGACCATTGCATGGCGCATCAAAGAACTGGAAAACTCAGCTACTCGCGGTCAGGTACAACCCATAACATGTGCGGCGGTTACCGATACCATCCGTTTTAGGAACATTTTTATACTAGAAAATGTAAGCTGGATGGATTTCCTCACGTTTCAGTAGCCTGATGCGCACACATTGCCCTTGAAAAGGTGTTGAGAGAGGGTATGGAGCTAACGAAGCGCAGTGCTCGGCCGGAGCAGACGCCTCGACTGGTGATTATGATGATGATTTCGGCACAGCAATCCCACTTTTAGCAAAGTGTATACTCAAGGCTGAAAACCAAGTCGAGGCTCAGCTTTATTTCGATAGCGAGATTCTTCACCCAGAATTGGTGGAGCACATGCTGCATCAATTTCAGCTGATTGTAAATGAACTTGGTCACGACTACGACCACCTTCAAAGATTGCAGCTTGGAGACTTGAACACGGTTTCTGATCATAGCAAAGCGCTGATTTGGTCCTGGAACTCGAAGCTTCCAGACAAAGTGCACGACTGGATACCAAACCTCTTTTCGCACCAGGTTCTGGCAAACCCTCATCGCACAGCAGTTGACGCCTGGGATGGCAGGTTGAGTTACGCAGAGCTTGATTACAAGTCAACAATGCTAGGAAAATGGCTACTTGTCAACAAGGTGGCTGGAAGCCGTCTGGTTCTTCCCATTTGTTTTGACAAGACGTTTTGGACAACAATTGCGCTTTTGGCTGCGGCCAAGATTGGAGCCACTTTCATAATGATTGACCCGTACCAGCCTCGCGGGCGATTAGCGTCCATTCTGTCGAAATTTGACTACAGCGGAATGCTTGCACGAGCGGATACATTCGAGCTTGCACGGTCGCTGACTTCAAAGCCTGTCCATGTTGTCAACGACGAGCTGCTGGCACAAGGACTGCAGAGCAACGCAGCATCACACCAAGACCTCTATTCAGGGTCAGCTGAAGATCCCCTCTATATAGTCTTCACCTCTGGTAGTACGGGCGAGCCGAAAGGCATCAAGATTTCTCACTCTAACCTATGCTCGGCGGTCAGTCATCAAGCTCGCACACTTGGGTTTGCTGGATCTCGCTCCTTTGATTCGTCATCATACAGCTTCGATGCCTACGTCTGCAACACATTTCACACGTTGCTCACAGGAGGTTGTCTCTGCGTGCCTTCGGAGTACGAGCGAATCAACAACTTGGAGGCAGTTTTGCAACAGATGAAAGTTGACTTGGTGCAGCTCACACCATCTACATCCTCCGTCCTGGATCCCGCCAGCCTTCCACTTCTGCGGACCTTGATACTCACAGGTGAAAAGATTACACAATCGGTACTCGATCCTTGGCTGTCAACCAAGCGTGTGCGCGTCATTAATGCCTATGGGCCGTCTGAATGCACCATAATGTGTGCAGCAAATACCAACATAGCATGCATAGAGGATGCTGCTACCATCGGTCGTGGGCTTGGGGCGAGATTGTGGATTGCCGACGTCAATAATGTTGAGCGACTTGCCCCCATTGGTGCCGTTGGCGAACTGCTTATTGAAGGTCCCATCATCGGACAGGGATATTTGGGCGATGAGAAGCGAACTGCACAGTCTCTTGTCTGTATCGCCGGTGGCTTCCTTTCTGGAATTGCTCCATGCCCCAAAGGGAACCTGTTTCGCACAGGTGATCTGGCCCAATACAATATGGATGGCTCTATTCGCTTTATCGGTCGAGTCGATACCCAGATCAAGATTAATGGCCAACGCGTGGAGATTGGTGAGGTGGAACATCGCCTCACTCAATTCCTGCCTGAAGAATGCACGGCTGTTGTTGAAGCTGTGGAGTGGCCATCTGGAAAGAAGCAATTGATTGGCTTCATCTACAGATCAAACACACGGACCCAGCCCTTGCAGACAATTGTTCACCCTTTGAAGGAAAATTTGTTGACGGTTTTGCCGGCGTACATGATGCCGTCTGCATACTTTCCGCTCAAACATATTCCCAAGACGTCTTCCGGAAAAACCGATCGCAGAACTCTTCAAAAGCTGGCTCTGAACAATCCCAAGGATTTGATCGATGCTTATGCTACTGTCATAAATTCTAAAACCAGACCACTTACTGAAACTGAGATTGTCCTTTGCGCAGTCTGGGCCGAGACTCTTGCTTTAGATGAAGCAATGATTCGATCCGGAGACAACTTTTTCTCTTGTGGTGGTGACTCATTGGCCGCTATTCGTACTGTCGCCGCCTTGAATCGCCAAAAAAGGTTCCGTGTGGACGTTGCAGATATATTCCAGCATCCGCGGCTCTCCGACCTGGCGAAGACGGTCGAGTTGAACGCCGCCAGGGCTAGCTTAGACTCATCATCGGTCATCAAAGCATTTTCTTTGCTACCGTTCTCTCATGATCAAAGTGCTTTACGAAAAGAGGCTGCGACACGTTGTAACTGCCTAGAAACGGATATTGAAGATATCTATCCTTGTTCTCCGGTGCAGGAAGAAATGATTGTTCTCGCATCAAGAAACCCGAAAGGATTCATCACCAAAAGGACTGTGGAGCTACCTTCCAAAGTCTCATTGACGCAGATCCTCTCGTCCGTCAAGAACCTTGCATTGACATTACCCATTCTTCGAACGCGCATTATTGAGAGCTCTGCATGTGGCGAGCGCTTAATGCAGGTTGTCGTCAGGGGTGATATTGTGCACGCGATTCATGCTAGTGCACAAAGCTGCTTACAGCACGAACGGCAGAATGGAATGGGACTCGGTGAACCGCTCTTCAGGATTTCTCTTGTTGATTCACTTGATCGAGGCTGTGTTTCTCTGATAGTCACCATGCATCATGCTGTTTATGACGGCTGGACGCTCAACCTCATATCAGAGGAGCTCTCCCACGCGTGCACTGGTGGGACTACCTCTGGAACTCTCGGATACAAGAGCTTCATTCAGCACATCCAGTCAATAAGCAATGATGCTAGTGCTTCCTTCTGGTCCAAAACATTGAAAAACATCACCACGCGGCATTACCCCCCTTTTCGTGAGCCTGACTACAAGCCAATCTCTACAGCAGTGTTTGAGAAGACAATATCAGGCATCGACTGGAAGAGCCGGAAGGAAGGTATGTCTGCCAAGATTGGCTTCCTGTTTGAGTCGTCAACATTTGGTTTTCGATACAATTTTTGTCTATTTGCTAACACTTTTGTCACAGTAACACCCACGACTTTGGTGCATGCGGCCTGGGCAATGACTCTATCTAGGCTGTCCGGCTCCAACGACGTTGTCTACGGCACCACCCTCCTGGGCCGACAAGCGTCAATGGTAAATATTGAACGTCTTGCAGGCCCGACACTGGCATCTATACCTTTCCGAGCATTTGTTGACTGGGGTACGATGAACATTGCGCAGTTTCTGCGTGTAGTACAGCAACAGATGGTTGACACGATCCCTTTTATGCATTATGGCATCAGAAACATTCAAAAGCTTGGCTATGACGCTGATTTGGCCTGTCGCTTTCGAACATTTATTGTAATCCAACCAGAGCAACGTTCATCGCCGGCCGACATTCTTAAGCTTGGTACAGGTAGCGACGACATTGGCGCCTTTAATTCATACGCCATGATGATGGAGTGCTCCTTGACAGCTGATGGCTGCATTTTGCGCTCAAGCTTTGATGGGAATGTCTTGAGTGATATCAGCGTTCATTCGAGTATAGATGACTTTGCGCATTCGTTGAAGCTTCTCATAGACACGGATCAGTCTGTTCCGCTTGCTCAGTTGCCTATTCTTGGCCATGATGAACTGGAAAAGCTCACGTCTGATAAATGCATGCATGTCGACCAAAACCTCGAAGAGATATCGAAACTGTTCAAACAATCCTGCTTTCATTTATTTTCGGATTCTGACGTGGAACTCGTCGAAACAGCCGACCTCGCTAAGCAGCTTGTTGGGTTCCTCTGCTCAAACCAGACCACCCTAGATGACGCTCTTTTACAAGCGCTGGCAGATGCACAGGCGCAACTTGCTCATAAACTACCTAGACACATGCTCCCAACCAGATTCCTTGCGGTACAGTCGCTACCAAGGAATGAGAAAGGCAGCATTGATAAAAGAAGCTTGGCTGCACTCGTGAATAGTGTACCGATCGATCGCTACATCACAGCGTCTAGTTTGCAGCGAATCAAAGCATTGCAAAGTCAGCCGCCGCAGACGGACGTCGAGATGATGATGCGGGATATTTGGGCCTCGACGCTTGGCATTGCGGCTTCGACTATTGACAGAGAATCATCTTTTCTGCAACTAGGCGGCGACTCTCTGTCTGCAATGAGAGTGATTTCTGCGGCAAGGAAGCAAGGATGCCACTTTACCGTCGCAGATATATTCCGCTCGCCTTGTCTCAAGGATATATCCCGGAAAGTTAGGCTCGAACAAAAAAGCGTCCTCGAGAGTCTGCACATCAAGCCTTTCTCGCTCGTGACATTGGGCGTGGACAAAGAAAAACTCGCTGTTGCGTGCGGGCTGGATCCATCTCTTGTCGAGGATGCTTATCCTTGCAGTCCACTACAGGAAGCAATGATGGCGAAAACGATTGCAAGTCCTGGTGCATACGTATCAAGAGCCGTATTTAAGCTCGATTCCCAGGCCAGCACAATCCGTCTTCGAAACGCTTGGAACACTGTGGCAGCTATTGCACCCATCTTACGAACTCGCATTGTGGAAAGCGATAGATATGGGCTGCTTCAAGTGGTGACAGCTGGTGGTGTCTCATGGACTGAGCACAGAGACAACAGCACCCTTCCCGCCCTTAATATGGCTTTGGGGGAAGCCCTGATGCGGTTTGACCTTGTCAAAAATGACTCTGGCATTTATTTACATTCCATGATACATCATGCTGTTCATGATCGCTGGTCTGCTGCTCTCATCCTAGAAAAGGTCGAACAGGTGTACCAAGGAAAACCTTTGAGCGCCCAGTTACTTCCCTACAACTACTTTATTAGGCACATTTTGCAAGAACAAAGTCAGCAACACGTCGTGCAGGCCTATTGGCGCAGCTACTTTGCGGATCTGGAAGCGCCCGATTTTCCTAGATTGCCAGCAGCGACATATCGACCAGAAGCTAATGGTTTCTGTACGAAGCGTATAAGTGTCCAGTGGCCGGGGCAATTTACACCCACAACAACGTTGAAAGCTGCCTTTGCCTTGATGATATCGCAATATACCGACTCGAATGATGTTTTATTCAACATCACTCTCTGTAATATGCCTGCCCTTGATCGATGATTAGATTGGCACTGCTAACTTTGACCATTTGCAGCGGGCAGACAATCAGGGCTTGAAGGCGTCGATCTCATAGCCGGCCCGACAATCACAACAATTCCACTACGCTCCAAGATAGACAGAAACGCCACAGCGGCAGAATATATGGAGGCCTTGCAAGCCATTGCGATCGAGATGATGCCATTTGAACACTATGGCTTGGCCCAGATTCAACGACTTAGCCCAGAGGCAAAGCGAGCCTGCCAAGCACAAGCGAGTCTAGTTATACAGCCGCCGGAACGTGCTGCGACCAGCGACTTGTTTGGGCTGCTCGTTGATGGTGCTGACGAAAGGGTGGCTAATGAGCAAGCGTTGGCGCTTGAATGCACTCTCTCAGGAGACTCCGAACAAGTTCTCTTGACTCTTAATTTCGATGAGCAGGTTGTGGACCACTTGCAAGCCCGGCGAATGCTCGCGCAGCTGGAACATCTTGTACACGAACTCGGCCGAGTCAACCTGCGCACTACTCGTATTCGCCATCTGGCACACCCAAACAACTACGACCTCGAAGAATTGCACAATTGGAATGCAGCAATTCCCATCAGCAAAAGTACATCTATTCTGGACATGATTGCCGCTCGTGTTGATCAGTCGCCCAACTCAGCCGCGATTGATGCATGGGACATGAGTCTGTCGTACATTGAACTCTACAACATGGCTCGGCAACTGGCATATTTCCTCATTACAAGTCACGGCGCTGGACGAGGTAAAATCGTTCCAATATGTCTCGAAAAGAGTGTTTTTGCACCCGTGGCTATGCTTGCCGTTATTCTCACGGGTGGCGCTGCCGTCACTATGGATGCAGCCCAGCCAACCAACAGACTTGCGGGGATTATCAACGCGGTCGGGGCATCGATTGTTCTGGCATCGCCAGTTACTAGCGACATATTGCAAAGGTCGCCTTCACTCAGCGTTTTCTGTATCGATAAATCCTCAATTCTGGATCTGCCCAATCTACCGTCGAATTTCTCTTTTCCAGTTGTTTCGGACGAGGATCCTCTTTACATCAACTTCACATCTGGAAGCACAGGGTCCCCCAAAGGAGCCATCGTTACGCATGGCAACTATTCCGCCGCAGTGCTGCATCAGGCAGCGCCTTTGGGATTTGATCAGGAGACTCGAGCTATAGACATTTGCTCCTACAGTTTTGATGTCGTATGGGAGTTGTTGATACAGGTGCTTTGCTCAGGCGGCTGTCTTTGCATCCCGTCTGACAATGATCGCTTCAACAACATTTCCAAGGTAATAAAACAATTCAAAGTCAACCTTCTCGATATTACGCCATCGCTGGCCAGAACCTTGACACCTCATACACTTCCCAGTGTGAGGCGCATCATATTTGGAGGCGAGGTCCTGGCTTTGGATGATATTTCTCCATGGGTGCGTTGTGGCGTCCAAGTTGTCAACGCGTATGGGCCATCTGAATGCACCCCAGCTGCGACGATTGCGCGCTACGGAATTGATTTCACAGATGAAATAGCACTTGGTCGCTGTTACGGACTAAACTCTTGGATTGTGAGTTGCGATGGTGGCGACAATCTTCTGCCCATTGGTGCCGTTGGTGAGCTTGTTCTTGAGGGCCCATTGGTTGGCAAGGGCTACCTGAACGATGTGGAAAAGACGGCAGAAGCTTTTTTTTGCGACTTTGCATGGTTGCACCGAGATAATGTTGGGATAAGCTCCGAGGCTTGTAGAAGATTCTACAAAACAGGCGACATGGCAAGATACAACAGCCAGGGTATGCTCATTTTCGAAGGTCGCAAGGATACTCAAGTCAAGATTCGCGGTCAACGAGTGGAGCTTGATGAGATTGAAGTTCAATCAAGGAGAGTTCTTCCTGCAAATATTTCCGTTGTCGCCGAAGTCATCAGTGCGCACGCGACCTCTTTGAACACATCACAAGTGCTGGCCTTGTTCATTGAATACGAGTCTACTTCGAGGAGCCCGTCAAAATCGTCCATCAAAGAGACACTTGCGGCACATCTATCTCAGGCACTACCTGCATACATGGTTCCATCAACTTACCTATTCACAACCATTCCTCGAACAACGTCCGGGAAAGTGCATCGACGACAACTTCGCGAAAAGGCTTGGGCTCTGATGTCAGAGCGATTGGACAAGCAATTGCATAGCATCAACAAGCCCGGCACGCCTTGCGAAAGAACGCTCTCGCGGCTCTGGGCAGCAACGCTAGGAATTGGAGAGGACATTATTGGCCGCGAGAGCAGTTTTCTTGACCTCGGCGGAGATTCACTTACTGCCATTCGTTTGGTTGGAGCTGGGCGACAAGACGGCTTGCCACTGACCGTCGCGCTCGTCTTTCAATTTCCGCAGCTGCGTGAAATGGCCTCGGCCATTACGTGCAAGGAGAAACAGCTACTTGATTGCCAATCTTGCTTGAACAGTAATCAAACCCATCACTCGTCTAGCTTCTCGGCCCTAGAAGAAGACGTGGCGCTACCCAGCAGAGGCAGTGTCGCAGAGGCATTGTCTCTGCCAGCAGAACTCATCACCGATGTACTGCCACTTACCGATTTCCAAAGCTACGCTGTTTCCTGTGCTCTAGATACGCCGCGAACGGAATGGAACTACATCTCCGTGCTTCTTCCGCAGACATGCGACGTGTCGCAGCTGGCACAAATCTGTACCAAACTTACTGAAGCTGTTGATATACTTCGCTGCATATTTGTTCCCTATGGCAACGGAAACTATGCACAGGTATTTCTGTCGCGCTTGGAGCCCGAAATTCAGACAATCTCAACAGCGAATTCTCTTGCCACGCAATGCGAGATTGTTTGCATGGAGGACTGGACAGCCGACATTCCGGCTTTGTCGTCGCTTGTCAAGTTCTTCATATTCAACAACGAGACCATCTCGGAGACACGGCTTGTCGTCAGAATTCCACACGCACAATATGATGGCTTTAGCTTCGGTCCACTCTGTAGAGTCATCCATGCCATTTGCGATAACCGCAGCTTACCACCCCTATGTTCCTTTGCCAGCTACGTCAAGGATATCGAGAATACTTCTCTATCCACATATGTGTTCTGGAAAACCTTGCTAGAAAGTTCCAATCAGCCAACTAGTATATCTATGCAGCGACAGCCACGCCGGGGGCCTAGTAAGCGACATCACGCGCAGTGCCAGGTGTCGGTCGCACGGCTTCCACAGGGCATCACACCTTCCACAATGTTCTATGCGGCATGGGGAATGACCGTTGCTAAGGTGACTGGGACTTTGGACGTCATTTTTGGTCGTGCTGTTTCCGGAAGGGCAATGTCGACACCGGCATCCCGAAGCCGACACGACAATGTCATTGGACCATGCATAAACATCGTCCCGACCAGAATCATGTGCGATCCATCAATCAACAAGGACAAGATGCTTCGCCACCTGCAAGAACAGATCATCGAATCTATTGAACACGAGAATCTGGGTCTTGGAAATATCATGCGCAAGTGCACGCAGTGGGAAGACGATGCCATCATGGGCTCTGTCGTGTATTTCCAAAACTTGGCAAGTGTCAAAATAGAGCCGCCCCCACGCCATGAAAATACTGTACAACTTGAAGCTCTAGCGCTTGAGCGACCAGATCCTCCGGAGCCTCCTCGCTTAGATATTGTACCTCTCAGCGAAGAACGATATGGGCTTGAGCTAATGATATGTAATGAAGAAGCAAGCGGTGCACGGGTGAGGAGTTTACTATCCCAAATGCAAACTTGCTTGCAGGAGCTGCTGCCATGATGTGGTTTGGTTGAGGCAGTTTGTGGACGGTGAAGTGTTTTGTTAGACAACACTGCACAGAACAATCAGCATGTTTTTTTTTTTGCCTTTTAGCTTCTCAATCACATCATTTGCCCAATTTTTTTTTTAGAATTTCGTTTCATAATTGATACACAAGCGCAGCTGCGACGCTAACTGAACATCTGCGCATTCCCAAACAAAATATATGCATCAGGGACTTTAAAGAAAGAAACACTAATGTTAAAGCGTAAAAACACAATTCCTTCCGTAGGGTATTAGGAAACCATGCCCAAATACACACCATGCTTGCGTTGATAAAAACAAAGAAGCCAACATTGAAAAAAAAAAAAAATGAACAGAAAAACTCCTTGCTCCGTACCACCAAATAATGACCGGATCCAAATTCGTGAAATGACTGACCCCTTTTTGCTGCTCCGTATCCAATCTTCGAAAATCTTCAAAATACAAAAACAGAAACGGAAAAAGAAAAAAAAAACACAACCGCTTACATCCCCTGCGGGCCCATCATACCACCCATGCCTTGCATAGACTGCTGCTGCTGCTGATGCTGCATCATGAGCTGCTGCTGCTGTTGCTGCTGCTGCTGAGCCTGGGCTCTCCTCTGCAGGAATAGCTGATTGGCCTGGTTGAGAGAAATTTGCTTCATCTTGTTCATGGCTTCCTGCGGAATGTTCTCCGGCCCACCATACTTTGGCGCAGCTGCTGCGACCATTCTCTGGAAGATGCCTCTGGCGTGATTGCTGAGCTGCAGCTGCATCTGCTGCTGCTGTTGCTGCTGCTGAGGATTCTGGGCCGGCGCAAACTGCATGGGCCCTTGCTGGCCCTGCGGTTGCTGCGCTTGGTGCTGTTGCATTTGTTGTTGCATGGCGGCCATAGCTTGCATGTTCGCGGCGTTGCCGTTCATGACTTGACCGCTCAGCTGCCTCTGCATCGCGTTGCCCATCTGGCCCAGCTGGCCCATCCTAGCCATCTGCGAAAGCTGTTGCTGGAGGTGCGGTGTCATTTGGCGCAGCTGGCCGCCCTGCAGGTTTTGCAGCTGCTGTTGATATATGGCTTGCTGCTGTTGCTGCTGGGGAGTCAGCATTCCACCTTGCTGCTGTTGCTGCTGTTGTTGCAGATGCGCTTGACGTTGTATCGCCTGAATCAATTGCTGCTGTTGCTGTTGGGTCATGGGCTGACCATTCATAGCAGCCATTCCGCCATTCTGCATCGCAAGCTGCTGCTGCTGGAGCAGTCTCTGCTGGACTGTCATCGGTTGGCCAAGCATTGGGTTCTGGGGGCTCATGCCGTGGTTATTAGGCATGCCCATGTTGCCGCCCATGTTGCCACCCATGTTGCCACTAATCTGTGAGCCTTGAGCCATCATATTAGGCGGCGGGCTGGCCTGCGTCATGCGAGGGGTTGAGGCCATGGCTTGTCTATTAATTGGCGTAGCATGCGGCATGTTTGGGGTCGCATTGGGTATGCGCGGAGTACCCGAGGCATGACTCTGCTGACTGCCTCGAGCAGACATGTTATGTGCCATGGGGGCAGACATGGGATTCTGCACAACGGAGGGAGGCCGCGGCGGGCTTCCAGCGGCGCCAGAATTGGAATGTTGCATCGGCGCGCTTCCAACCATTGGCGACGACATATTTTGAGGTGTGCCCTGTCGTATGACGGGCGAGGATGCTGCTTGAGCTTGTGACATTTGCGACGGGAATCTAGCCTGAGCAGAACCGTGCATTCCATTTTGCATGCCAGCGTTACCGGCAGCGCCATTTGGTACCATAGCATTTTGGCTATTGCGCTGGGCCATTTGTGCCGCTTGCTGCGCCTGTGCCGCTTGCTGTGCTTGCGCTTGTGCCTGGGCAGCTTGCTGCGCCTGTGCTTGTGCCTGTGCTTGAGCGTGCGCCTGCGCCTGCGCCTGTGCCTGTGCTTGTGCAGCCTGCGCCTGTGCCTGTGCCTGTCGGGCGGCCAGGGCTTGACGCTGCGCTTCGGCTTGGCGAAGTTGATTCTCCCTGGCCGCAGCAGCTTGTCTAGCACGCTCGGCTTCTGCTCGCTGTGCTGCCGCTTGTTGCTCTCTCTGCTGCTGAAGCCTTTGTTCCTGGAGCCGGCGTTCAGTTTCTTGTTGTTTAAGTCTTTCCTGCTCCTTCTTCTCCGCATGCTGCCTCTTGATGTCCTCGATAACCTTGAAGCGCTCGAAGCGCGGCTCAAAGGTAACGGAACCGTTCTGAGCATCACCGTCTGCACCACTTGTGCCTTGGCCACCAGCGATGCCAGATGAAAGGCGCTCATCCAGGACGAGCATGTAACGCTCGTGGTCTGCAGCTGCGGCTTCGTCTGCGGCAACTTCGGCAATAGTCCGCTTTCTCGTCTTGGGTTGCGGTGGTGCTTCGGCGTGCTTGGGATGAGACATGGCCTCGAGAAGGGCAATCATCTCTTCTACATTCTTGGTCGGAGTCAATATTAATGATGGCATGGTAGCGAGTAAGATTTGCCCCTCTGCAAGGTAGATGTTAGATCCGTCCAGTTCAGTCTTGTCTCTTCTTTGGCGTTTCGCAGGTGGTGGCATCGTATTGACTGTCGGGGTAGGAGGGTTCCCGAGCGACAGGGGTGTTGGTGGTGGTACATAGGTTTCTGGTATGCCTTTCGGGGTTGTGGCCTTGATCATGAGGTCGATATGTAAGCTCTCCGGGGTCGGATGCAGGACGACAGTGAAAACTTTTGGTTTGGCAGCAATTTTGAGCTTTGTCTCCTCTTGACCATTTTCTTCGGACTTTTCGCCTTCTGTCGGCTTTGTTTCTTCCTCTGCTTTCTTAGAGTCCTCGCTCGCGCCCTGTTCTTCCTGCGGAAAGGGAACGTAAGGGGATGGCGTCAGCCACTGGTTATAATTATGAATCGACGCTGGTACTGTTTTGGACGAGGCAGAAGTTGGTCGCGCAACATCCTTGGATTGCGCAGCTGACTTGTGATCGTGAAGTTGGACGATGAGACAGCCATCGTAGAACTGAACTTTAGCTTGAATGAAGTACTCGAGGAGGTCGTGGGGAATGGTACGACTTCGGACGTGCTCAAGGAAGAGTTTCATCGGCGACTTATACGGAAACATGCCATCCTGCCCATCGAATCGGAAATGCGTAGCGTGTAGATGCACGACAAGAGAGGGTGGGTTGCCGGCATGCTTTGAAAGGATATATGAATCGGATACGACTGCGCGATGATTAGCGCGCGAATGGAAGCAAAGCCGAAGAGGTGAGAGAATTACCATATGGAAGCGTTCCTCCGCCATTAGCAGAAGCATCGTCAGACATCGACCCAGTGCGCTTGCCGGCACTATTGCGCGAATGTCTACCGAGGGCTTGCGGGTTTACGTCGCGACGTGCGCGATTGACAGGCCGAACTGTGGGGACCGCAGCTGCACCGCCAGCGGTGCTGGCAGGCGGCTTTGCCGTCACAGCCATCTTCTTGTTTGCGAGGGACGGTGATGATGAAGCCGTAGGATGCGCGACGCCGTTGATGCCGCTGCCTATCGGCGATGGTTTCTTTGTTTTCGTCGCAGGAGTTGGTATAGCGACCGCGGTAGCCGGGGACATGTTTCCTCGAAGCGCGCACCGCGGCCGGCGCTGTGAGCGTGGCGAAACTGCTGTCCACCCGTCGTAGCTCTATCGTAGTGGCCTGTCTATTCAATCAACACGCAAACATCGATAAGTGCGACGCAGTGGTTGACGGATTCGATGCCTGGAGTCGTTGCGATGTGTCGTCGCAAGTCGTTGGAGGGGCCGGCTAGCGTGCTCGGAGATGCCGTCGCGAAGAAAACGAGTGAGGATGGGACGGCGCAATAGTCGTAGATGAAGAAGAATCAGCGTGCATTCCTTGATCTATATCTAGATAGGAGCCAAGAGTCGCAGCAGAACCAAGAGAGTCGTGTGAAGTTGGCCGCCCTGCGAGTGTGGAGTGAGCCGCCTACCCCAATGTAATGAGGTCGATTTGGGAGGGAGATCGCGGCCGGCCAGAAGCGTCACGTGATTTTTTATTACCCTACAAACCATCAGCCTTAGACTCTGCGCCCGTAGACGATGGCTTGCAGATTTTTCAATCCTAAAAATTAAGTTTTACTTAAAAAGTGCCAGAATACGATATTTTCGTTAACTCCGAGTAGTAAATCAGCTGATGGGATGGGCTGTGTTGACAGCTAGTCCATGTAGGCACACGGACAGACTACACGAGACTAAGCCTCTCACGATCTGTGAATCATCTACCTACATAGGCAGTTGATAGATTTCGCACATTAAGCTGTCCATGTTTATGTTGACCTCGTCATAACTAGAAATTTCTTAGCGTGCAGGAACTCTCCCTAGGTTCAACTTTGGACTGTGGTACGGCATCGCAAAACCAAGTCAACAACGTGCTCTGCTGGAGCCATGTGATAGGTTCTGTCCATGTACTCTGACTGTCTCGCAGACAAGACGTGATACATCTGCTAGCTACTTATTGGTCATGTCTGAGGAGACGAGCGACGCATTTTGTCCAGCAGCACGTATCATATCTGAAACTGATTATATTCACATTTACACATCATGCCGTGCCATAACAGTGTACCTGCCCACGGTGCTAAATAACTAAAACTACATAAGCCATATACGAATTCCATTCCACCGAAATCAGTTATTCAATACCATTGACGCGGCGAGCCCAGTCGTCGCTCACGCGCATGCTGTCCACGACAACGATGCCCCTGCCGCGGCCAACACGATCCGGTCTTTGCCACCATTGCTGTGTCTTTGTAGAACGCTCAGCTTCCGACTCGCTATCCGCGAGACCCCCAGAGCCACTCTCGGCACCAACAACAAGCATAATATCCTGGCGAAGCCAAGTCTGCATGTTAGTGATGATGCTGCCACTGTCGCCACTAAGCGACTCTTGCAGGTAGATGATATCTGGCTGCAGGTGTCGCAGAATGTGAACATGGCCGTTGGGGGTGGTGAAGGGAAGAATCATGGTTTCCTTGTCGACAAGGGCAAGAGCCTGCGAGTAGGTGGCATTGAAAGCGGTATTCTCGGTAGAAGCACTACTGGGAAGTTAGCGGAAAGGCCATCAGGTTCATAGGGCTGGACTGGGTAGGCTTACATGGGGTTCTTGCTCTCTTCACCAGGCGTTTGAGCTTGATCATGACCAATGTTAGAGAATGACGAGCTCAGGGACGGCGGCGGCCGGTTACTCGTAGCAGTGTCCAACGCATTATCTTTTAGATTGGGAGCGTAGATGAGAACATATAGCTTGATGCGAGAGAAGTCGTTATGGCGAGGAATGTGAGATAGGATGGACTGTACCCAAATTAGTACTGCACGCCGTCGTCGCGCCAATTTGTACTTACAGCATGCTCATGGAAATCATCGTCTGCGAAGCGGCCCAAGGGGCTATCGGCGGATACAACGACGGCAACAGTACGGCGGCGCCTATCACCAGAGACAGGACCGCGTTCTTTCTTGGCATCGGCTTCCTCAGACCAGACTCTACTATCGTCGGGATACTTATCCTCTTCGCGAATAGAAGCCAGAGTCTTGCCTATGGCGGCACCTGCCGCCGCAACACCAGCGGTGATGGTCTTGCCGGTCGAATCAAAGAACTGCTGAGGGCTAGGGGTCCGGCGCAAGGCACCAGACACTCTAGCGCCCCAGTTGGAGCCGCTGGCCTCGGCTTGCGTTCCATATGCATCGTCTGCGTGTCGAGGGTGCGCGCCGTAGCCCGAGCGCGGCTGGGAGTCGGGGCCGGGACGGGGGCCACGGTCACGGTTGGTTGCGCCGTACGGCGGGTTGTCGCCATAGTCGGCGTTTTCGTAGTCGAGATGCTCGTGCTCCTGGTCAAAGCTCGGGTGGTCCTCCTCCTTGCGCTGACTGAAAGCCCAAGCGACTAATCCTGCGCTGGCGATGGTGACAGTGACGACGAGCGGAACCCAATGGCTCCAGACGCCGCGCCGGCGGTCATTGGGCGAAGGCATGTTTTGAAGCCGAGAAGAAGTCGCATCGCCCACGAGTGCAAAATTTCGGGATCAGATTCGGGCCAAGCCTTGCAAGCTCTAGGCCTTGTCGCGAGACGGGACGAAGCGAGGGAATCGACAGCGGGCGCACTTGATTCGACGACAATGTCTTGGAATGCGCGTATGCTTGAGAGACGGAGCAATATATCCTACTGGTGGGGTTGACATCCGTTTTGGTTGCGGACAAATGGTGGCTGGGGGGTTGATTCAACAATGTCAACAATGTGGAGCAGCCTAGGATGCTTCCCAGCAACGCGCTGCCGCCCGAGGCTATGACGGACCACGGTAAATCGCGTCACTGCGTAGCCACACGCCGGCAATGGCTGGTGGCTGGAGAGCTGCGCCGCTCATAGAGCACGTGATCAGAACGCGCCAGTTGATGTGGCGCTTGCTTCAGCCACAACATTATGCGCCACATCTCAAACCTGACTCTCTTGGTGGGGTGAATATTTGATTCTTAGCTTATGACTCTTCAAACGACGACTGGTGCCGTGTGGCTGTAGACGCGACATAGCTCTTTAGCTTCATTCTGAGGGCGAGTTAGGCTCTCAGAGACGGTGATTTTATATTCTGGCGACTTCAGCCTCTCAGCTGCGGTACGCATCGTGTTCGAGCTTGTCGTCTGCTCACAACTGCCCCTCCACCATGCCGCACTCCGTCTCGAACGCCTCTACCGGGCTGCAAGCTCTGATTCTTTGCGGCCCGGGATCGTCATTCCCGACGTTCACCTCCAACCCCGATGAGAACCCCAAGGCGCTGCTACCGATTGCCAATAGGCCAATGGTCTGGTACCCTATCGACCTCTGCTATCGGACTGGTGTGTCAAGTGAGTACTGCGATGAGGATGCCAACACATCATAACTCACAGTCATTCAAAGTCTGGTCAAACTGACACCAGCACAGAAATCACATTGATTGGCCCACCCTCAGCGGCTAAAGCTCTGAAGGCTGCCATGGGCACAAACCCGCATCTCACTGGTCTGCCAATGCCTAGACCGGAGATTGTCTGCCCAGCAGATCTTACACAGACGACAGGCACAGCCGAAATTCTACGGCTTCCTGAGATTATCAACCTCATCACCGGCGACTTCATTGTGCTACCCTGCGATCTTGTTTGCGAATTTGGCGCCGAGCAGCTCTTGCAAGCCTGGATGGTCAAAGCAGCCAGCGCCACCGATCTCCTCGGCGCCAAGAGCTTCTCAAGTGGCAGCCGAAGCCGCCACAGCGGTGGCATCGGTGTCTGGTACGAAACCAAGAATAATGTCACGGTAAAAGGCGAGGAGACAGATTTTGTTGCGACAACTACGCTACCCCAGTCTGCGACTATGCCCCCGAAAGGCTCCATCTTGGCCAATGTCTCTCGCGTGGTATTAACGATGCCTACTGATGCACTCAACGATCGGATGGAAGAGCGCAAAGCGCTGGCCCTCCGCCATGGCCTTTTGAGAGCCAATCCCCGCATCCGCATGCTCACAACACATCGAGATGCCCACATTTATATTTTCCCTCGCTGGGTTCTGGATTTCATACAGGCCAACGACAGATTCGAGAGCATAGGCGAGGACGTTGTCGGCTGGTGGGCCAAGGCCAGCTGGCAAGAAGGACTGGCCGAAAAGTTGAAGATTATGGAGACTTGTAAGGGTGACTCTGCGGATGATGGAGAGTCAAACCCCGACAGCGACCGAGGAAGTACTGATCACAAAGCGTCGGGTTGTTTGCTGAATTCTGGTGACGAGTCATCGAGAACAGCACGTAGCTCCTCAGAATCTGTCCCCCCAATGATTGCCTACCTTCATTCGAATAAAACCCAGGAAGCCGGCTCGATTATCCGCCGTGTCGATACAGCGCAGCTTCTCCTAGCCATTTCTCTGCAGCTTGCTAAGCTTCCTTCGCTGGAAGAGACGGGACCCGATGCTGCCTCTCCGTTTGCGCACCCTCGTAAGGTCGCATATCCCGAGGGCGTTAAACCTAGGACGACCATCACCAAGGCCGACAGTCTCATTGCTGAAAATGTGACTGTGGAGGAAAAGACGTCGATCAAAGAGTGTGTGATTGGCGCTGGCTGTCAGATCCAGGAGGGTGCCAAGCTGTCGCAATGTCTGCTGATGGATGGTGTGGTTGTCGGAAAAGGATGCAAGCTCACCAAGTGTATCCTGGGTAAGCGAAGCGTGATTGGTGATGGTTCCGTTCTTACAGACTGCGAGGTCCAAGAGAATCTCCTCGTCGAACCAAGAAGTAAGTCGGAACCTCGATACTCTGAAGGAATACAATACACTGGTATATGGGAAACTGACCTTTATCTACAGCCGAGGACAAGGACAACAAGCTTATGAGCTCGGAAGGATTGGAGGCTACGGAGGCCGAAATGGAGGAAGTCTTGGGGCATGCGGACGACGCCATGGATACTGTATAATGAGAAAGGGCCGGCGCACTAAAAAGCAACAATTCATCGGGCAAGTAGGTCATTGATGTCTACGTGCCCATTCCTTTTCGATTATCCACTATTCCGTGAACATTTCTTGCGCAGTTTCTTTCCAACACTGAAAAGAAGCTCTCGAGTACAAGGTAGCTAGGTCCGGAGGCGACTCAGTGTAGCGGACCAAATGGCAGCCTCTCCTCCGCAACGCCATCTATCAATCGGATGTTGCATCGACTGATACAACTGCCCGAACCGGCCTGGCACATACTAACGTGATTTTGCCCTTGGACGGGCGCAATTAAACACACAAGGGTGAACTGATCAATTAACTAGGAGCTGCAGCTGCGATCAATTGCCAATCCGGGGCCGTGAGATCGGCAAGTCGGGCCAAGTGCTTGATCCAGCCATTGCGCAACGGCATAACTGCGCTGCACATCTCTGAACGAGCTTTCTGCAAGCACGGCCATTGTATGTCCCATCCCGTCCCCTCGGCAATCTTTTCCCTCTTCCGGAAGGGAGGGCGTGTTCAAAATATGACAAGATGTTTTGCGGGCGGCGAGCGGCCGAAGAAGCGTAGCATTTCGTTTGACGCGGCATCCCTCGGGGAAGCGACGGCGAAAAGCAATCGTTCGCTTGCGAAAAGGGCAAGCCCTTGGGCAGAGACAATGAACCGCATCTCGCAGGCACGCCATTGTCGGGTATAATATTTACTGCGCTGACCGGGGGGGTAGCCAAAAATAGGTTGCAGCGAAAGCCTGCGGAAAACTTGATATTTTTTCCTCACGACGGGACAAAACCCCCGGCCAATGGCTCTTGTACTGCAAAACTGTTTTATCAGTTTGCTTCTGACAGTTTTATCTGAAATGCAGCAGCAGAGAGTTGTCCCGTCTTTTGTTTCTTTGCGGAACCAACGCTACTGCAAAGCTGTCTAGTTTGCCTTTTTTGTGCAGTCTTGGGTCTGAGTTTGGACGTTGAAGCAGGGAGGCGGAAGTGGTTCGGCAAGCTACAAAAAATTGCAAGTGGTTCATCCATCAGGGGTTTTATTTATTTATTTTTCCCTTGTGTGTCTGTTCAGGGCAGTCCACAGGCGAGGCCTTTTTTTTTTATGTCTCTTTACTAGTTATCTCGTCGTTTTGTTTTTATGGCGCGATCGATTTTGAGTAGTTTACACAGAATGGTAAACCCCCCAGCACCCCGGGTATACCACTTGCCGAATGACGTCGCACCCCAACTACATAGTTATACCCCCTGGCGACGGCTATTAATTGCAAGGAGCATCTTCTTAGCGCTTTCGCCAGTGAGCCTGTAAGTTCTGATGCGGCCCTTCGACGGCGCAGACGACCCTCGATGCGTAGCCGAGTTTTGGAGGGACGCCGCACCGCATCGCACCGCCGTTTACTTGCTTTTTTCTCCCTTTCCCCTCTTTCCAACATGTCACCAAAGAAAATACCATTCTGGTGCGATATCGAAATTGTTCTTTAGCTGCTCAGCTACCAAAGGAAAAAAGGGCGGGGGGTTCGTTGTGGCTTTGCCCAAAGTTTCTCGAACGACTTTCTTGATTCCGCGGGGTGGTAGCGGAGCACTCGATGCCGAATGCCCGATAATCAGCAGACTCTGATCTCACTAACTATAATCGGACGAACATGCGCCTGATAAGCGGCTATTGTGCCCGGGCAAAGTACTGCCATACCAAGCTGCGATGAGGACGCCGCTGGACTTTGGGGAACATGATTTCAAAGCATATCGGCAGGCGCACTGACACGCGTCTAGCCAATGAGTTGTGCTATCGGTAAGTGTTATCAACAAAAAACTGACTATCCAATCGAAATAGGTTCTTTTGTTTTAGAATTCTTGACCGTTTGAGTTATTTCCTCGATTTTGCGGTTTCAATCTTTCTTTTTGTGCGACAAGGATCTGCCAATGCGGATTGCCGGCTGTCCCAATCCGCGTGAGACAAGTACAGGCAGAATACTGGGCGAACTGCGCCCCAATGCCTTTATAACTTTTACCATCAAGACCAATAGAAGACTGAATAGCAATCATATGATTGCAATTCAACATGATGCCATGATAAGTCGCCTTGTGCGGCGTGGCTGCGCTTGCACGACCGACGCTGAGCCTAAGCCGGACTTATAGAAGCTGCCTGCCGGAACAAATGGTGCGATACGGGCGCAGCGCCACCTCTTCTGGGGGAAACTGGGGTACTGAAAAAACCCCTATATCAATAAAAGGAAAACTATAAGTTCTCTCACCTTGGCCGAAACTGGCCAAGGAAAAAAAAAAAGTTCCGTAATGGTCTCACAGTGGCTAGAGTCACTAGTTAGTTCAACGGATTTGAAGCAATGGGGAAGACTCAGACATGTTGCATGCCTCTCTCACCGGGGGGGCATCAACTCGGCCGGGTCGACTTTGGCCTGGTTTTGATCGAGGAGGAACAGTGCTAGGGCTTTCGGTGAGCACACCATATGGGTTGCATTAGCTCTGCAACGGCTGCGCACATTTTGAAAAAAGAAGAGCCGGGCGGGAACAGCAAAAAGAATAAAAAAAAAATATATAAAAAGAAACATTTGCAGTCGCATCGCAGCGTCTGATTTTTTTTTGGGGCTGTACCGGCCCGCTTGACATTTCCTGCACGCTGGGCCAACTTTTTGGTCATACGGCTCATCTAAACAAACCAACTAGTTTGGCCGCCAATCTGGGGTAAAAAAAGAATAAAAGAATTAAAAAAAATCAAAAATCAAAATCCAGCAATTTCTTCCGTCGATCAAAGATGGTGCTAGTAATTAATGTATTTATCCTATGATGGGGCATAATATTCCCATATTTTCTCCTTTCGCATGCCCGGCCACACACACAAAAAAAAAAAAGAGAAAAAAAAAAAAGCCCATGCTCCAAGACAAACGCTCGGCCGCAACGGCCGAAAGCCAGGGTCAGCTGCATGATCAAGACCGGCAAGCGGGTGAGAGAGGCAGGAGAAGGAGAGATGGAGGCGCAATGTTTCGTAGAAGACTTGGAAGAAGGAGGCACCCAGACAACGTTGACATGAGACATGTGAAACATGGAGGAACACCATGTCGCCCGTAGGGGAGGGGAGGGGGGGTGGATCAGAGATCAGCGGACATCGTAGATGGACGAGGATATGCCTGTTTGCTGTCCAGACTTGTCCTATGTTTGAAGCTATATATTTCTCGCGGCAGCCTTTGGATGCGAGCGGAGATTTTATTGTGTCGATCGGGGCCGCTGAGTGCTTTGCTAGGCAACGAATATGGTAAGAGTATATATACACTCCGCCCACAAAATGGTAGTTTATTGGCCTCAACAAACTTTTCCATGGCGAAAGAAGGTAGGATTTGTACGTGCTTTCTCTGTAAAACACTATGGAGAAAGTGTCAAAAAGGAGATTAACAAGTTTCCAAAGTCGTCAAAGACGTTTTGCTCGCCCGGGGGGCGGGGGAGAAGAGAGAGTCTCATCGGACTTGCGTATGTACATGCGTGCAGGTGCAGCAAGTGCAGGGGGGGAGCAATCAATCGACCCAAAGCTGTGGGTTCCCCCGATCGCTCGACCAGGGGTTCACGACTATCTGTGTGTGTGTGTGTGTGTGTGTGTGTGTGTGTGTGAGTGTTTGTCTGTGTATGTGTGTGTGTGTGCGTGGTGTGGGTGACTGTGTAAGTCGGCGTCGACTATTTGAAAAGACTCCAAACCCCAATTGCGCATGAGGAGGGGGGGGGGCGTGTGCATCTCTAGATACTGATCAGTTGGGGGGGGGGGGGGGCACCAATGTAGTAAGCCGCAAAAGAAAACAATTGCGTGTTGAACTAGTTTTGGGAGGGCGCAACGACGAAAAAAGCTGTGTATAAGCCTTGATGCGTCCGCTTTAGTCCAAAGGCAACCCTCTTTTAGAGAGCAAAAGAAGGGGAAAAAAGAAAAAAAAAATTGATTAAAAGAATAATAATCAACCCCTCCAAGGCTCAACGTACTGGTGCAGCTGAAGCTTTACACCTTGAGAACCCCGCCACACCTGACCTTGTCTGATTGCGATGATGCTAGTGTTGATTATTTATGTGATTAATCACTTTCAACCAGCTCATGATGAGGGGAGGGGAGGGGAGGAGGGGTTCCGTACGTAAGACGCAAAAGTTCAAAGTCGTTGCTTTTCGAAAACCTAGTTTCGGGCTTCAGCAGCGGCGATTAAGCACAAAATCGTATTTTTCTTATGTTGTGCAGCGAGATATGAGTCGAACGATTTTTATTTCCCCTGAATTATTTCTCCGCAGTTGTCATTGGGTGCGGGCGGACGGGCGGGAGGGCGGAAGCGAGATGACTAAAAAAAAAAAGAGAGTTTTTCGTTTGGACGCAGCCAAGGCGGATAACGTCCTCTCGTACGATGATGGTGACCGGAGACTTTTTTTTGGCCTTCACTTCGGAGAAGAACATCCGTATCGCAAAAAAGGCTTTGTGCATTATACTCCTATCAAGAAAAGAATAGATCGAGCCAAGTAGGTGCGGGGTAGGGGAATTTGTTGCCCTTTGCTCTGTTGGTTGACTCAGGCTGTGAACCAAGTTTTTCCATGGGTTGACTTGGTGTTGCTCAATTGTGAAAAGTGACCTGAGGAATTGAAGTGGTTCCCCGCCAGGCACCAGTAAAACAAAGAGGCAACTTTGACTGGTAGCGTCGTATGCGAAGACGATCTCGGGTTCCTGAATTTCTAGTCATTATGATAACTTTGTTTGTATGGGCCACGACCCGTATGACATGACGCCTCTTGGTTTAGCGGAGTATCAGTTTCTTGGCCGAGTGTGGTCTTGCAGTGGCAAACAAACGCACAACTGCCACTGCAACTGTTTTGCCCGGGTCAATCAGGACACAGCTGAAAAAGCTCGATTGAGTTGATTTTGCCAAAAGTAGGCGGAAAGGATCGGCATATCCCTGTGTTGCATTGGTCGCCCGTTCTCCAGCATCGGAGTTAGCTGGCCAAGGGAAAAACAATCCCAT